CAGAATGGGACTTCTGGAAATCTTTCCAGCTCCCTACCTTCAGATTTCTGTGACATGGAGGAAAATAAACCTGTCATCTGTACAAATCACCCTTTAGCTGGCTTGTCTATTAGTATTTGAACACAACTTTAAGCCTTACAGGTTCCATAACTGTCCTAAGCAACACTAACTTTTATACCTAAAAATAATCTCAGCTAATTAATTAAAATATCTAATTCAGGTTAAAGTGAAAATCTAATTTTAAAATTCATTTGTACTTCCAATACTAGCTCGGTACTGCTCCAGGTTGAGAAATTTCAGGGGTCTCTGTGTGAGGAGTGTGGTAAACTCACTCTCTGAGTTTTTCCTCCTGATGCCATCTTGATGGCACTTCCCAACTCCCAGGTGGTAATTTCCACAATGACACTGTGAGAAAGCTGGTAGTGGACACCCCTTTCTCACGATGACTGTGTGTTGGTACACTCTAGCATTGGTGGGTGTTCATCGCTGACTTGCTCCTGTCTTGGGGTGCCATCCTGCATTGTTTGGAGGTTTCCAGAACATCTCGCTACAATGCCACACTTCTGGCTGCCACTTGCACCCTACGCTTCAGTTCCCATCTGATAGTTTGTGCTGAGCTGGCTTTGCCCCTGGCAGCGTGCCCTATTGGATCGAGTCCCAGACCAGCTCCATCAGGTAAGGCTCATCTCTGTTTTGATTTGTGTGTAAGCTTGTGCCCAATGAAGCCACCTTTCATTGCTCAGCCATCAGACAGGCATCTCTACCTCAGCACTTTATTGTTCGCATCCAGAGCATGTAGCTAATCCAAATAAATAAAAGTAATCTACATTTGACAAAATAATAGTAGATTAGCTAGTACCTTTACCACTCAGATAAGGGGAATTAAATATATAAGCAATCCTAGCAGTCCTCTCAAGAACATGTATACTAAAATTAAGGAGAAGGGTAAGCACATTTTTCTCTGTGAAAACAGAAATAACACAATATTCCATACTTCTCCCAAAGGAATTTTTTCTTCTATTCAATCTGGATAAATCTATACCCTTAAGATAGATTTAGGGCTAATTTTCATGACACACACTTTTCTCCACTTACCTATACAAGACTCCTTTCACTTTTTCTTGCTTCGCTTCCCCAAATCTTTAATACGGTCCTCAAGACACCCATTCTTTGCATATAAGACTTCTAATTTACCACGAGAAAAGTGGTCATCCAGTGTGACTTCTAATTTCATGTATCTGCAAATTTAATTATCTCTATTCATATTTACTATCCATTCTGTGTCAAGTGAAAGATACCACCACCTTCTCAAAGATAAATTCGTTACTCTAATATTGGTGTATGTGCTTTCTGGAATTATCCTTCAACATCGAAGTGTGTGTTTTTTCTTAGTTTTACATTTAATAGATTCCTTCCTTTCTGTCTATTAGCATGTTTACATGTCCTCCATTCTGAAAAAAAAAAGTCTATAGTAGTTCTCCACATTTCTCTTTCACTGTCCTACCAAACTTCTTAAGCATGCCAATTTCTTACTTCCCAAAAACTCTTTTTTAAATATATTTTATTGATTTTTTACAGAGAGGAAGGGAGAGGGATAGAGAGTTAGAAACATCGATGAGAGAGAAACATTGATCAGCTGCCTCCTGCACACCCCCTACTGAGGATGTGCCTGCAACCCAGGTACATGCCTTGACCGGAATCGAACCTGGGGCCCTTGAGTCCACAAGCTGATGCTCTATCCACTGAGCCAAACCAGTTAGGGCCCCAAACACTCTTTAACACTGTAGTCTTTATTCCATTCCAATATATTCTAGTGAATCTGTTTTTATAAAAGTAAATCAATGATTCCTAAAACCCAAATACATTTTAAATTCTCTGAGTTTCTAAAAATTTTATATTTCTTTCTGAATCTCTTTATCACTTCTTTAGACCTGGTTTTCTGATATTTATTTATTGATTGATTGATTGATTGATTGTTAAACCCTTTGTAGATAAAGGCCAGGAATCTGCATTTTTAGCAAACTTCATATCAATGACAAACATGAAAAATAGAGAACTACTGGTTTAGTAGCTAAAAATAAAACAATTTGGTTAATCAACAATAATCTACAGGGGGGGATACTGTTTTAACAGTCAGTTGAAAACATTTGTTATTCTCTCTTTTTCATTATCTAATCATAAACTAAATATCAAGGTTGAATTAAGAGGGAGGTGGCGCATGTTACAGTATTTAAAGCTTCATAATAGATTAGAGCAGCTTTAATTAAAGTTACCAAGACAGCCAGAGGGAGACACTATATGCCATAATTGGAAATGAGTCACTAGAAAAATGTGTTTATTATAACCTTGATCCTATTTTCTTTGAGCAAAATGTCTAGAGACCTTCATTAACTCAGCAGATCCCCTTGTCTGTGCTGGTTGGTGAACAATAAGACCACTTATTTAATTCACCTCCATCTTTCAGGAGGCACCATTGGAGGAGGTTGGATTATTTCTTTCAAAAGCTTTTTCCTATGAACTGTTCATTAACAATTGCAGATATTTCTGCCTAGTGTAGGCTGAAATAAATGTTAATAACAATGTTAAATGATTGTTTCTTTTTTGACTTGAGATTGCTTAAGAATAATCCAACAATGTTAGCAGAATAATTACCATATTGAGCCAGTTTGTGAGGCATAGGCATAGCAAGGAAAATAGAAAAATACTCACTTAGTAAATATATCTTGAAAATAAAATGGCTGAAATTACCAGTGTAAAGTTAGAGGGGAAAAAAGCTGGATTCATGGACAGATTTCCTGAAGTTAAATTCCATCACAACCTCATGCTATCTATACAACTCTTGGACAAGAATTCTAGACCTTTATGAGTTTCCTCATTTATAAAACAAGAATGAACAGATGTTTAATGTGCCTATTTCATAGGATTCTGTAACAGCCCAAAGCATATCACTCATCAGAATCATAACCTGTTTTTATATACTCTCAAAACAAAACCAAAAACGACTTAAGTGCAAAATCTGTTTTGCTATAAAAGAGGTTGGTTTTATAGCAAAAGCAACTACAATATTTTTACATTGGTTTCTCTTTCAGCTCTTTCTAAAGTTGGTTGTTGGAGCAGATCAAAAGATAACAGCACAATATAAGCATGGATAAAATGTCAAAATAAATACTGAAATTGAAGAAAGATACTGGTTGAAATGGTTTTGAGTCAAACATACACTGAGTGGCCAGATTATTATGACCAACTTACATTTGTAGGCAAATTAGCTATAATTTCATGCTGAAGTTGCTAGAGGGACAAGCAGGTTGTTTATCACAACAGTAAAAGTGATTTTTTTTTCTGAAGATATGGGTAAACAATGTGATTTAACAGCCTTTGAACGTGGGATATATATACGTATGTATATAACCTGCTTCCCTATTTATAATGGTCTGGCCCTCTAGCAACTTCAGCGCAAAATTATAGCTAATTTGCCTACAAACGTCAGGTGGTCATAATAATCTGGCCTCTCAGTGTAAGCTCAGCATGAAGCAATGAAATAAGTTATGACTTCATGTTTAATCAACAGACTATAAAAGCCAGAATTAAAAATTTAATGTTCAAATACATAAAATCAGTATATGTGCAGCCATAATAAAGTTTATCATAGAAATTATAATCACTCCACTAAAAAAAGAAAAAAATCCTTTCAGTTGTTCATTTTCTTTAAAAAACAAACAACTGAATTCTAGAAACTCATAGGGAATTTTTTTAGTAGATTTTTGAGAAAACAACCAGTTCAATTTACATGTTTTTCATAGATTTACATCTATTATATATTCCCAAGGGTATTTTATGTTGATAACCTTGATACTAAAAATATATTGCTAGTGTTAATCTAAATTGATGAAACTATTTTGAAAAGCAATTGTCGTATTCTTATAAAGCTAACTTTGTGAATACCCTACAGTCTAATAATTCCACTATTGACCCTTCAGATATCCTTGCATGTGGTACCAGGAAATTTGTTCAAGAAATGTAGCAGCGCCAAATAATAATTTACCAACAGAGAATAAATGAAAATTTGAGATCTATCCTCATAAAATAATATTTAACTGTGGCTAAAATGAATTAAATCTAAGTAAAAGCCTCCAGATAAATCATCCTATATAATAAAAGGCTCATATGCAAATCGACCAAACAGTGGAACAACTGGTCGCTATGATGCACACTGACCACCAGGGGGCGGACGCTCAATGCAGGAGCTGCCTTGTAATGGTCAGTGCACTCCCACAGGAGCGCTGCTCAGCCAGAAGCTGGGCTCACAGCTGGTGAGTGCAACAGTGGTTGCGGGAGCCTCTCCCACTTCTGAGACAGACCTAAGGACCCCTTGGTGGGCCTAAACCTGCAGGCGGACATCCCCTGAGGGCTCCTGGAATGCACAAATTTCATGCACTGGACCTCTAGTACAAAAATAATGGGAGAAAGTCATTGAGAACTACATATACTACTACATGATTTTGATAAAGCTAAAAAGAAAGCAAACTAGCAAATATGTTGTTTAACAAAACATGTATGTAAAGCACAACTATTTTTTAAAACAAAGAAATAAGTAATCAAATATCTAGAGTATTGGCCACCCCTGGCAGGGAGGCAAGGTAAGGGGACAGGAGAGTTCTAAGAAGGCAGAGTTAAGGGTGCTGGCAATATTCGTGGGTTTTATGTTGCACAATAAATTTAAACATTATTATGACACATCATGACTTACATATGTATAAATACAGCCATGTACAAATTAAATACACTATTCCTATGTATTAAAATCACCTAACAAACTAATAATTAGAAGTAAGCGGATTATGTTGAATTCATAATGAAACCATGATATCTCACCTTCATGCACATATTAGACGAACAGTTTCCGTGGTGAAGAAAGCATACTAAAGAAAGCCTCCAACTAAAACATGAGAAATAATAAGTAATGGAAAATAACCAAATGAGCAAACCCAATTTAAACTCACCACCAGGGCTTTAGATCTGTTGCTTAGAAGTTTTTCAATATCCCTGGCTGCAATTTCCACCAGCTGGCGTGCATTATTTGGTTCCACAGTATACAAATCTTGGTATTTCTCATAAATCTATGTGAAAAGCAAAAGAAAATTGTTAAGAACAATAATTGCTTATTTGGCTCATAAGTTCACATTAGAATGTATTTAAAATCATAAACAATTGATTAGAAAAGTCCACCCTTTTCTTCCTTCACCTTGATCTTTCCTTTAGGTGTCTCAAAAATATGTATATAAATATTAGTTTCCTATAAGAACACCAGCTCGCCAAAATAGTTATGTCAACAGGCTGTAAAACATCTTGAACAACAATGCTTTGTATATGCAATTTTGTGACTTGAAATTGTACATTCAACCTCAAAACCGGGTATTAACTGCGATCAGCATTTTAAAAACAGGAGAACTGAAGTATGGGAGGTCAAACCTGGAGGATATGTGCAGTGAACAAAGGTAGGAGGGAGGGGAAGTGCTAATATATTGAGAGAGACTTCCCACTGTTCTCCCTCACTGCAATCACTGAGGCTACAGGGTTTGCTGCTAAACCTTATGAGAAGAAAGAGAGAATTAATGAATGAATCTGAAGCCCCTGCTAAGGGAGGTTCATCCAGGTGACACAGGGAGCTTCATTTCACAGGGTAGTAGTTTGAAGGTCATCAAGGTCAACATTCAAGATTAGTTAAAACGGAATTGTGTAAATATTTTTATTATCAGATTGACTGTTTTGTTTTTAAATCGTTGAATCAAACCATACTGAAAGGCAGCAAAAGAAAACTCGGCTGCTGCATTTCTGGCTCACATCATTGGCCATGGAAGGAGGTCCCCAGCATAGCATCAGATGCACTTGGTATGCAGAGTCTGTACGCTCCCGGCGGGAGAGGAAGAATGAAAGAAAGGGGGTGGGGAGAGGACCAGCAACCCTATCTGTGGCTGGAGGGCTGAGCAGAGAAGGAAATCCCTTATGCATGCAACAGATGGGTTGCACATGCATGACTAAACCATCTTTAAAAGCCAAGACCTGTCAGTTTTTCTGCCATCTTATGAGAAGAGAATCCAGGCACATGCAGGAACCAGTTCAACCCTGTTTTCCTAGCACAACCTCAGCATTTTGTTACTACCAGCAGGTTCTACAGCTTGGACTCAGCTGAGCATGGGTGCTACTGGTGAACACTGGTTTCAAATGGACACAGACACATATGCTCACATCTAGATATATAAAAGCCTAATATGCTAAGTTTCTGACCAATCAGGGTAGGTTAGCTTGCTGCTAGGGTCCAGCCATTCAGGACTGGGCAAGATGAGTGGGACAAGTCCTGGAGCCCTCCTGTGGCGGTTCCTCCCTGGCCAGCCAACCCCCGTTGGCCCCGATTGAGACTAAGCAAGACAGCCCTGATCGCCAGCCAGGGTAAGGGACTCCACCAGTGCATGAATTCATGCACCAGGCCTCTAGATTATTTATAACGGAGTATGTTCGTTTACATAGAATTAACATTTTTATTCAAATGATAAAAATTAATCATTTTAAAAGATTTAAATCAAACTTTTACTCCTAAATTCATTTGATTTATTCAAACTATGAGGTTTTCCCATACTAGACTTAATTTGACCTTGTAGGTTGTCATTTCACCTATTCAAACCACAGTAACTTAGCATATACAATCTCCATATTTAGTGTCATCCAGGATTCCTGCATATTTATTACTGGACTATGGACTGCTTGTGTTTTCTTCTGCAGGACAGATTATCAAGCTCTGTATTAAAGACCCAGGTTATCCATGATAAAATCCATCCAACTCAAGGCTCCCTCTTTTATTTCAGCCTAAGATGACATCTAAGAACATGACCTCCTGAATAGATTAATTGATCAGGGTACAAAACGATAAACCTCAACATCACTTTAATTGATCCAGGATATTTAGTTCTTTGCAGTGAAACCAATATAGCTAATTGGTATAAAGGCAGCTGTGCTTTGAACCATTAATGTCTTGCTCCTTTCTGTGTGAAGTCTGATCTCCTTCCTGTGGTATAGAGACTACAATATAATTCAGAGTTGGTGAAGATTAGTTCAGGATGCATAGTCTGTACTTCGCATTATGTACTATAAATAAAGACATTGATTAATACACTACCTACAAAACCAGAAACATTATAGGTGCTCTAAAGAATGAGAGGATTATAAATCTGAAGAATTTAGTTCAAATACATACATATATATATATATGTATATATTCTAAAAATATAATCTATCTGGAGCTCAGGGACTATAAATAAAGACATTGATTAATACACTACCTACAAAACCAGAAACATTATAGGTGCTCTAAAGAATGAGAGGATTATAAATCTGAAGAATTTAGTTCAAATACATACATATATATATATATGTATATATTCTAAAATATATATAATCTATTCTCTCAAATTATGTTTCTAGGGTAATTTTTTAATGCTTAGGGAAAAAAAAGATCTACCTGGCTAATAAACTTTTTAAAAAATGTTTTTATTGCCCATATTTTTAAAATATATATATTTTATTGATTTCAGAGAGGAAGGGAGAGAGAGAGATGGAAACCAATGCTGAGCGAGAATCTTTGATTGGCTGCCTCCTGCATACCCCTCACTGAGGACTGAGCCCACAACCCATGCATGTGCCCTGACTGGGAATCAGAACCTTGACCTCCTGGTTCATGGGTGGACGCACAACTACTGAGTAACATCAGCTAGGTGCAAATAAACTTTAAATAAATGACATTTTTACCAGATCATTCTTTGTTGTGGGCAATGTCCTATGCAGTATAGGATGTTTAGCAGCATCTTTGGCCTCTACATACTACATGCCAGTAACACTCCCCCCACCCCCACCCCCAGTTGTGACAATAATAAATGTTTCAAATGTCTCTTAAGGAACAAAATTGCCCCAGGCTGAGAATCACTGTACTCTCTATAAAGACATTAAAGATGTCTTCAGGGGAGAAAGATAAGCAGCTATATGTTGTACATTGAGAGTGTGCAGTAGCGAATAATGGTCTTGTATGCCATTCATCTTCATTGTAAAGATGAAGCTAACCCTTGGCAACATCGCTTCCATAAGTTTTTAGCTTCCCCTCCTTTGTGAGGCTCATAGGCAAGAGAGCACAGCCACTATCTATCTCTCTCCCTGTAATTAGTATTACCAAGCCATAGGATAGGTACTTGAAGAAACAATAAATAAGAACTTGTTCAAATACCAGCATAACTTTAAAAAGTGTTATTGATTGATAATAGAACAGATCGGTATGGTAAAAAAGAAATCATTTTAGTAGTTTTTTACTATTAATGTTTGTGAACCGATAATACTGCACTTAAAAACCTGTAAATAAAATTTTGAAAGTTATCATAAGATTAGAAACCCCTTTAGAATTCATTTTCTTTCGTGTCTTTGAAAACAGATGTAATTAACCACTGTTTAAAAGAAATAAAACACACATACACAAAAATAAGAGTCCATATTCTCTCTGTGGAAATATATTCTGCAGTCTCAATAGATTTCTCTCCATTTAGTGTGGGGGGGTAATGTATTTTTCTCTAAGATGACAATAATCTCAATTTGCCGGTTATTACGGTAACTAGTCACAATATCTCCTAGTTGGAGGTGTAAGGCAACTCTGAACAAAACCAAAACATGAAATAAATAAGCTATATTTGAAAAGTAATACTATTATTTTTATAAAGTACTTAGGTTACTTTTTTAAATAATTATATTACTTTTAAAGTAATCCTATCTAATAATAGAGAAACATGGTAATTAACCATAACTTCGCTACCGTTCTGTTCCCATTGGTTAATCAGCGAAATATGCAAATTAACTGCCAGCCAAGATGGCGGCCAGCAGCCAGGCAGCTGAAGCGAACAGGAGGCTTGCTTGCTCCAGTGATGGAGGAAGTCAAGGTTCCCCGCCTGCCGCAGCCCAGCTCTGAGCTCCAGATGCAACAATGTTGCAATTATAGAACCTAAACAAACCCCAGGTACCTTTCAGCCAGCACGACCTCAGAGCTTAGAGCGGCCAGTGATGGCAACAGAGTTTCAATTATAGAATCTAAACAAACCCAGATGCCTGCTTTCAGCCGGCAACGGTCTCAGACCTGGAACTGGCTCTCAGCTCCAGTGACAGCTATAGAAGGTAAATAAATCCCAGAATAAAAAAAAAAAAAAAAGAACTGCCTGTGGTTCCTCTGGTG